GACGTGTATGAATGTACGTATCCTCCTTTTCTGACTCTTTTTGTTTGAGGATGAGATCAGTGTAGAATACCCTTCGGAAACACGTTCGTGAAAGGAGGACTAGTGACATATCTTATTTTATTGACGTATATATAATATAATATAGTCCTTGTTTCTTGTGTACTTCGTTATATAAAAAAACATTAAATAAAAAGTGTTATGGTTAATTTTTTTTTCTGATAAATCGTTGGAGTTTCAACATTTGGCTCATAATCTTTTCGGTATTCAAAAACAGTATTTGGATATTCCGATTTAAAAATAACCTTCTATACCAAAAAAGATTTGAACCCGGAACACAAGAGAACCAACCATGTTGTGTTACCACTAGACCACCACACCTTTCGTATGTTACTTTTATTAAAAACATAATCGGAGGAGATTTCGTTTATCCTTAAGTTCCATTCCATTTCTATGAGATGACCAATAGAACCAAATTTTTTTCTTAATATCAATGTTCTAAAATGCATAGCTAGATGCTAATAATTGAGTGTCCGAAGACAAACTTTTAGATCGATTAATAAATGTTTAACTCATGCTTAATTGGATGGGGGGGTTCAAACATTTGGAAAAATAATCTGTACACTATTTATAATAGCGACGTAATCCAAAATTAGAATCTAAATATCTATTGTATTATACATAGTTTATCCTCAAACTATGTATAAAAAAAGAAAATTAAAACCTCAAACTTAATTATTTTATAAAAACTTTTAACAGATGAACTGCAAGCTATAAGGTCACTTTCTACGCGTTAGTATATGTACTACAGTACTAACAGTAAAAATGCAGATAATAAAACTAAAATATTAAAAATATTATAAAACCATAATAAATGCGCATCCAGGGAATCGAACCCTGGTCAGTACCGTGGGAGGGTACTATGATACCACTACACCAGATGCGCTTTTGTTTACCTTATGTTATTATAAATATATATAAAACATGAAACTGCTATGTTCATATGAGTGAACGTACAAAATTCTTGGTT